AAAGAAAGTCGAAGCGATAAACAAAATCGAGGTTCCCAAAAATACTCGACAGCTTCGCAGTTTCTTAGGAACGGCTGGCTGGTACCGCAGGTTTATCCAAAATTTTTCGGAAGTAAGTGCACCGCTCACTGATTGTTTGAAAAATAAATCAAAATTTATTTGGACGGAAGAAGCGACGGTAGCTTTTGAAACTCTAAAAAAGGCACTTACCTGTGCACCCGTTTTGGCTCATCCGGTTTTGGGAAGCACTTCCAGTGCGACGCCAGCCATGTCGGAATTGTAGCAGTGTTGTACCAGCAAGACGTAGAGGGATCGGACTGACCAATAGCTTTCTTTTCGGCGAAACTCAGAGGAGCGCAACTCAATTACAGCGTAACCGAAAAAGAGTGCTTAGCTGCTGTTAAGACAGTAGAGAGGTTCCGTCCGTATGTGGAGTTGATGCCGTTCACCATAGTCACCGATCACGCTAGCCTGCAATGGCTAATGACGCTCAAGGACTTGAACGGGAGATTGGCACGATGGTCTTTGGCGTTACAGGCATTCAACTTCAACATCGAACACCGAAAAGGCAATGATAACGACGATTTTCTCTTTTCAAGCGAACGGTCGTGTTTTTTGTGCGCTCCGAATTTTTTATTTTTTTGATACAACCAGCGGTGGTTCTCTTCTTAAATTTGAATATTTAATTGTTTAAATACCTTTGTGCTCGAAACCGTTCGCTTCGCGGGTGAATTTTTGTGCATATTGTGTTTATTTAGCGATTTAATTTTGTCTTACTGACTTTCTTTTGTGCTTCGTCCGTCAACAGTAGTGTTGTTGTAACAAGTGCATGCACATTAACTGTCCCCGCTCTTCCGCTCTCTCACTCTCCCGCTCTCTCGCTCTTCCGCTCTTCTTTTTTTGGACTAACAAACTCGAAAGTTCTAAGCGTGCAATTTATACGCTCTTGCGGTACATTTGAGTTGCTCGCTTAAAAATTTCGATTTCATTTTCATCTTGGCACAGTGGTCCCTAATCTAATAAACATGGACTCTTACCATTTCTGTTTGAAAAAACCTGCCTTCAGGTAATAAAGCCTGAGCAGGGCAAACTCACTTGTAGGCTTTGTGATAGGATGGTGCACACTAAGTGCGCTGGATTCACAGAGCGGACAAGTGACGATTTAAGTAAAGGCCTTGGTTTGCAGTTCTGCTGCGAAGCTTGTCGCGAAGTTGCGAAGGAAATGAAGTCCTTCATGAGCCAAACCAAAGGCGGCCTTAAGGGACTGATCGCTAGTTTTGGCATAGCTAGAGATAGTTTTGCCAGGGCTGGTGATCTACTCTTAGCGCTGGACTCGCAGTTTAATAGCCTTAAGCTATTAGAGGAGTCCCCGAAGCGCAAGAAAGCTGCTGGTGGTAGGCCTGAGGGAATCGTCCCGCAACTCCGAAGCGACCGGCAGAACTCCTCTGCGGATGAGCAGCCGACTTTAGCAACCCCTCAAATGTTGCTAAGATCGGCAGCCAAAAAAGATTCGGACCCCGATCAATCCACAGTGGAGTGTAGACCAACGCCTCTAAAAAGTTCCGATTTGTCCGAAGGTGGTTCTCAAAATTTAATTCCACCTAACCAACCAAATATACCCCCACAAGAGGCTTCTGAGACCGGACTACCGGCCCAAATTGCCACCGCAGGCCCACTGCCTGCAGTAGCAAAACCCCTCACAGTGGTTCCACAAATGAGACAAATATTTGTTTCTCGGCTGGCCCCTGATCTCACATCATTTGATGTCACGTCTTATATTAAAGACAAAATTAATGCCGATAAAGTAAAGGTGGAAAAATTCAATTTTTCATACGCTAGGAACATTTCATCTTTCAAGATAAGTGTTCCTGACGAACTTTTTAACACCATATGCTCGAGCGACTTTTGGCCAGCAAAAATGGTGGTTAAGGAGTTCGTAGCGAAAATAAAAAAGAAAGGCCCTACGGGAATTAAACTCCCCGGCCGGGACCAACAAACCGCGCCGTCTTTACCCCCAAAAAACTAACCACTAACCTCCTAATTAGCTATCAGAATACAAGAGGTTTGCGTAGCAAGCTAACCAAATTGTATACTGATAGCTTTTCGTTTGCATCCCAAGTTATTGTGTTCACAGAAACCTGGTTAAAGCCGGAGATCTTTAGCTCCGAAGTTTTTCCCGGTAAGTACACAATATATAGGCATGACCGTCCCTCTAGACGAGGAGGGGGCGTCCTTATTGCAGTGGACGCTAACCTCACGTCAGAAGAGGTTTTGACAGAAGATCATTTAAACTTTGAGCTAGAATTTGTATGCGTAAAACTGTCTGTTGCTGGCAGGTTAATTTTAATTACCTGCTCTTACATACCTCCTTCGTCCGAACTTGCGGACTATTTTAGGCACCTATCAGTTATAAAGTCAATTTCGAGTTCTTTGTCCGATATGGATCAGTTAGTAGTTCTAGGTGATTTTAATATACCTGGAACTACGTGGTCCTCGGATGATAATTCCAATGCTTTACAACCCTTAGGCCAAAATGAATTCATTGACGGTCTACTTGACATACCTCTGTGTCAGGTAAACCATGTTCGAAATTCTTTAGATCGCTTACTTGATTTGTGCCTCGTCTCAAATCCTGAAAGTGTTGTTCTTTCTAGAGCTACTCCACTTACGCTGCCTGAAGATCCATATCACCCTGCTTTCGAGGTGACTATCGACATTGGTATAACAGTAAAAAATAATGCTTTAAAGTCAGCCAAGCGAATTCATTGTTTTCGCAAGGCTAACTTTCTGAGACTTAATCATCTTATATCTGGCAATGACTGGTCCGATCTCTATTCCTGCAATAATATGGAAGACGCCATTACAATTTTTTATTCGGCAATCAAACTGTTTTTTAACTTGTGTGTTCCGCTATATAACCCGTCAACATCCCATAAACCACCTTGGTTTAGTAAGGAGTTAACACACCTTAGGAATGTAAAGTCCAGACTTTATAAAAAATATAAAATTTCAGGTTGTCAGTCTGTTTTTGGAAAATACATAAGAGCTCGGTCAAACTTTACCGTGCTTAACGCTCAGTGTTACAAAAATTATTTAGTCCGTTGCAGGTCCCAGTTTTTACGGGATCCCAAACAGTTCTATAATTTTGTCAACACTAAGCGCAGATCATGTTCCTTTCCGCCTTCGCTTTCGTTTGAAAGTAGGACGGCTAACACTGATCAGGCAATAGCCGATCTGTTTGCCCAATTCTTTCAAACAACTTACTCAACAGTGTCTTCAAGTGAGCAATATTTATACGCAATACCTAAGTCGAACCTAATATTTCGTCCCACCTTAAACGAAAGCTCCCTACTTTTGGATCTTCAACGTGTTACACCAGTTTACTCCCCAGGTCCTGACGGGATTCCTGGGTGCGTTCTTAAACACTGTGCAAATGCATTGTGTAAACCCCTTCTCAAGCTGTTTACCCTATCCCTACAAACTTGTCAGTTTCCCCTTATTTGGAAGGAGTCATTTGTTATTCCCCTTCATAAAAAGGGAAGCAAGTCGGATGCTTGCAATTATAGAGGTATTTCTAAATTGTCAGCAATTCCAAAGCTTTTCGAACGTGCAGTAACCCCCCACTTGCAGCACCTTTGTAGATCAATCATATCTCCATGCCAACACGGATTTATGAAACGCAGGTCTACCACAACAAATCTTCTAGAGCTCACATCCTTCGTGATAGATGGCTTTAAAAATAATTTCCAAACTGATGTCATTTACACAGACTTCAGTAAAGCATTTGACTCTGTAAATCACTTCCTAATGATTCGCAAACTTGACATGATGGGGTTTCCAGCAGATCTTTTAAGTTGGATCTTTAGTTATCTCAGTGGCCGAACTCAAAGAGTCCTTTTCAAAAATTCCTTAAGTGGTCTCCTCAGAGTTACCTCTGGTGTACCACAAGGGAAGCCATCTGGGACCATTACTTTTCACTTTGTTCATTAATGATCTTCCATCGATCATTACGCATTCCCGCGTACTTATGTACGCGGACGACGTAAAACTCTGTCTGCAGTATAATGATTGCTCCCGTCATTTAAGCCTTCAGGCAGACCTAAACAATTTTCAAAACTGGTGTCACGACAATTTACTAAAATTAAACAGCTCCAAATGCAAGCTGATGACGTTCTGTCGGGTCAATCCGCATAACGTCACCTATTCGCTAAGTGGTGGTGCCTTGGAAAGAATAGCGCTTGTTGACGATCTTGGCGTCCTATTGGACCCCAAACTTAAATTCACTCTGCATATTTCGAGCATGGTTAATAAAGCTAGGGGAATGCTTGGATTTATTAAACGATGGTCGAAGGAATTTGAGGATCCTTACGTTACCAAGGCTTTATTTATGTCGTTGGTCCGGCCAATCCTCGAGTATGGGGCACCCGTTTGGAGTCCTCAATACGGAGTACATGCTGATCGCATTGAATCAGTACAAAAAAACTTTTTAATTTTTGCACTACGCCGCCTTAACTGGAATGCAAACCTATTCCTACCCTCATATTCGCATAGATTGCTCCTCATTAACCTGCCCTCCCTTACTAACCGTAGAACGATGCTTGGTACTGTATTTATTCATAACCTTATACGTGGTGATATTGACTGTCCTAATTTGCTGAGTAGACTAAATTTCTCGGTACCAAGTAGATTAACTAGAAATTATGTTCCTTTAGTTTTAAATCAGTGTAGACGTAATTATAACGTGCATGAGCCTTTCAGAGTACTTTGTTCTGACTACAATAGACTTTTTCCTATTTTATCCTCTTCTGACTCTCTGCAGCTCCTTAAGCAATTAGTTTTAACATTTCTGGCACAAAATTAGATTGCTAAATTTAAACTTAAATTAAATTTAAAATTTTTCTTCGTTTTTAATTTTTTTTCTTAATTAACATCGCGTCAAATTTTCCGCGAATCGTGCCGTACGATACACGGCTGTCGCCCCTCGGTCGGTTGGGCGGGTGGTGGGCCGTGGGACTACGCGCGTTTAAAAAAAAATAACGTCGTGGCGGACATTTTATCCCGACCGAATGAGGTAGCCGAAATGGAGTTCTTCAACTTTGAGACAACGGAGTTTGAAAGTCCCGAATATCTGGAAAGACTGCGATTAGTTGAAGAGCATGGAAATGATTAGTTTCCGGACTTACGTGTGGAAGAAGGACTTCTCTTCAAGAAGACACAGTTTAAAAAAGAAGAAAGCGACGAGTTCGAATGGAAACTATGGGTTCCTAAAGCTCTGACGACAACTTTAATCCAGCAAGCTCACTGCTGCAACATGGCAATGCACGGAGGTATGGGAAAGACCTTAGCGAGACTCCAACATATGTTTTACTGGCCGAAAATGGTAGTTCAAGTCCGAGAGTTCGTAGCAGCTTGTAAAAACTGCAAGGAAAATAAACATACAACACAGATAAAACGACCAATGATGGGAAAGGAAGTACAGTCGGATCGACCCATCCAAAAGTTGTAGTTGGATTTCCTAGGAAAATATCCACGCTCCCGCCGAGGAAATACCATGCTTTTCATCGTGTTAGACCACTTAACCAAATTTGTATGGTTAAAAGCGATGCCGAAAGCCACGTCGACAGCTGTAATCCGATTCCTGCAAGAAAATATTTTCACACAATATGGAGTTCCGGAAATTATCCACACGGACAACGGAAGACAATTCATCTCCCAGGAATTTGAGAATATGCTGCAAGAGTACGGGATTACACATATGAATACAGGAAGATACGCACCGCAACCAAATGCTTCAGAAAGTGTAAACCAATCTGTATTAGCCGCAATTCGAGTGGACATCCAGGACGACCACACACGATGGGATGAACACCTAGCAGACATACAAGCGTCATTGAGGTCATCTGCCCCAACAGCACTGGAACTTCTTTTGCCATGTTCGGACAACATATGTTTACGCATGGGAAAGATTACTCGCTAGCTCGCAAGCTGGGTGCTCTTAATGAATCAGAGATAGCCCAATTGCCCAGATCCGATCGACAACAGCTGTACAGGGAGAAGATAAAAGAAAGGATACATCAGGCCTACGAGAAAGCAGCGAAAAATTACAACCTGAAGGCCCGAGAAGTTCGATACTCACCTGGACAGGAAATTTATAAGAGGAACTTCGTACTTAGTGACTTTAACAAGAGCAGAAACTCCAAGTTTTGCCGAAAGTACACTAAATGCCGAGTCACGAAGGCGTTGGGAAATTCTTTGTACGCTTTGGAAAACTTGCGCGGCCGTCCTTTGGGAATTTTCCATGCAAAACAAACAACAGTGCCCGGCTAGCTGAGTGTCTTCACTTGTTGTTTTTAAATCAGGATCGTGGACGGTGGCCTACGTTGGGTTGTACAAAATTAACACGCCATTTGCAAACGCACATCCTCCACTCCTGTTCCGCGACAAGCCTCGAAACCGTAGTGTGCTTGTTATGTGCGGCCAAACGAAGAAAATGAACACCAAATAAAATGTAAACAATATATGTTTACCAACGGCCGCCGATAACAAGTTATCGATTCTGCGTGAGTCCAGGCAGGGTTGCGACTTTTTTAAGCCTCTGGAACTATTCCCCAGGAATAACTGACTCCCAACTGAACCAAAAAGGTGAATTTGAAAAACTTTGAGTATTTTTTTTGGTGAAGAGAGGATAGAAATGAAAAAGTGCATTTTGTTGAAGAGGTTAAATCAAGGTGATCAAGAAGGCATAAAATTGTCAAAAATTGATAAGATTTTTCATGAAGAGTGAGTTAAATAGTGAAATAAATTGTTGTTTAGATTCAATCCCGGAGAAGATATCGGAGCTGTTTTTTTTTTTGAAGAGGGCAAATTTTCTTTTAAGAAAAATTGGCCACTCATTGCATGGTGGCCCCCAGGTTTTTGTTAGCGTAACTAATTATTTATAAAAAACTAATTAGATTTAAGTAAAAATCAAAGACCAAATGTGAAGTCAATATTAATGAATTAATCCAATAGTCCAAATATTTATTCTAAAAAGACACTCCACACTCCACAGTGGTTCCGTCAGAGGCTAAAAATCAGAAAAACCGACAGGAAATTTTTAAATTAAATTTAAACAGTTTGTCTCAAAAATATCCAATCTTCCAATTTGCAAAGCTAACGGTACATTCTAAAAATAGAATCAAAAGCATGAAAACGTGTTCATTTCAAAAGCGCATTGGAGCTCTGGTAAAAAATTTCAAAGGAAAAGCTCACTTCAAATCGGTCTGGTAACTGTTCAAGTTTATAAATGTATATTGTTTAAAATAGATTTTGAAGCTCAAGGTATTTTTTTTACCTAATGAAATTAATTTATACTTACTTCTTCGTTTGCACCTGTTTTGTTTGTCTTAAATTTGTTTACCTAAAGTTTTAGTTGTGTTCCCACACGATTCCCTATTAAGATTATTATTTTTATCTTTATCAGAGTTTTAAGATTTTAAAATCGTTAAAGTTAGGTGCGGAATGTTGCGGATGTAGTTGTAATCGGTAATACGTTGAGCATAGTTTACAACTGACTATGGTAGATGGAGAAGTATGCAAGGTTTTAAGTGCAAAATGTTTTATATGTGGAGCAATTCCAAAAAGTTTAATAACTTGGATAAATGCTTAAAAATAGACGCGAACAGAGAATATTTCGAATTCAGTATTTCCCCACTTGATGCGAAAATCCGTTTCTTCGAATACTTTTTACTTCCTTCCGGAGCAAAAATCAAATTTTTTAGACCAAAAGCATAAAATTCAAGCTGCGTTTGGCTTCTGAAATTACAGGGCTTTATAAAAACCTTATCCATCGTTGTAGTGGCACAAGCTATCAACTCGGGGTACAAAATAAATTTGGACAAATTTAATGAATATGCCATCGATACTGCTAAGAAATTGATAAAGGAGTATCCATGGTGCTATTTGACAGCTACAATCCATAAGGTGTTTGTTTGGTCATGCCGCAGCCTAAATCAAATCACTTATTTTCAAATCCTAACGTAAACCAAATTCTCGATGTTTGCCTTTGATTTGCTATTTGCTCTGCGCGGCAACACTGTTTAATTGTCATTGCTAACTCCCTTTTGCACTTTGCTTATCGCTGCCTGGCCCTTAGTCCACGCAAGCTGCTATATAGTTTGAATTTGGTACTCGCTTACAGAAGGCGCGATCGCTAATCGCTTGCCTACGTCTCTCGGCTTTATATACTTTCGTAAAAAGGCACGGACAAATCGGTCTGCCTGCCCATCATACTTTCGGCTATTTAAAAGGCACAGACAAATCGGTCTGCTTGCCTAATTCAAACCTACATAAACATTAACTTTGTGAATTTAATGCCTTGGTGCCAGTTTAATAAATAAGTGCATATTTAGTTGGAAATTTGTGGGGGTTTATTTTTCTTGGGCACCACCAAAGGTAAGTGTTAGTGAGAAAGCTCACTGACCCAACAGTGCACTATGGGAAATTTGGCCGATTTCATGGTATTTAGTCATTTTATCACAGTATAAATATTTGGGTTTTTTTTATGTAAACATATTAAAAACATATGGCTCCATATGACTTCATATCAAAAATGTTAATTAAGGGGCACAACTAGTGTGACATTTCAAAAAAATCTTTTTTTTTCTTTCATATTTCGGTAGATTACAACTTTAAAAATAACATATTAAAATTTCAAATCGATATCTTAAAGAGTTTTTGAGTTATAGCAATTTTAGGAGCAGCCGCTCGTATAGCAGTAAATACGATCATTTTATCTTTAAACGCGTTTTTCTCGAAGCAGCATTTTCCGAATTTGCTGCAGTGATAACTCAAAACAGTGTTGCCAGATTAGGAGGTTTCCCCCTAAATTTAGGAGGTTTTCAAGCTTGTCGGAGGATTTTTGGGAGGAGAAAATGTCTAGGATGAAATTTAGGAGGAAATAATAATATTTTCATTAAAAAAAACGGTAAAAAAGACTTTGAGGAGATGGAACAGGTCCCTGCCAACATGAAGCCAAAAAATTGGCTATTTATACGCAATTGATTAATTAATATCTAATAATTGGACAATCAATGGCCAATAAATGGCCAATGTTTCGGCTCGATATTGGAAGGGTACAATTATGTATACAGTTCATCTATCTATTCGAGAGAGTTATGTATTTTTCTCAAGTTGGCGTCACAGTTCTTACTACAGCGCGCTTGCCAACTTTTTGAATAAAATTGTTTCGGTGTTTTACTTGGTCTATAAATGTATACCTTTTTACTAGACTAGAATTTATGCGATAATGTCCATCCTTGGCTATTACATTTCCCCCTATTGCTTAAAGCCGACCATTCGAGCGTATTACAAAAATATAGCTTTCATTCAAGTAATATGTCTTTCTTTGTCTTTTGCATTAAGTCTAATAGGTTACGCTTAAATTTAAGCGCGTTTCAAAAAAACCAGCTATAATTACAAGTGACTTATAGCTTTATTCTAAATTTAGGAGGTTTTGTAGATTTTTAGGAGGAAACACAGCTCCATCTAGGAGGATACCTTGTAGGCCATCTGGCAACACTGTCTCAAAAACTAATGATCCGATCACTATCAATTTTTTTTTTACATGTTCTATATATAGTTCTCCCTACAATGACCTATCGATTTTTTGATCCGATCAAAAATCAAATTTTGGCAGGCCAAAAACGATTAAAATTTTGGGTAAAATTCGATTTTTTTTTTAAACACCGCCATGTTGTCTGTTCGGAGCAGAACCCCTAACTTGTAAATTCTATCCTAAGTTCAAATTCTAACTGCTAATGTAACGTAAACGTAAAGTTGTTTATCAACACCCGCAAAATTGCAATCGCGCCTAACTTTGCTTATCTTGGTCTATCTATCTTCATTATCATTTCATTCTTTTCGCAACTTTTAACCGATTCACATTTCGTTCGATCTCGAAAAACCCTCGCAAGCAAGTTGTCGGTCGCGATCTTGTATACGCAAAACACATAAACGTTGTAAACAAATATAAAACAAATAACACTCAGAGACACAAATATAAAACCACATCTCATTTAAATAACAAACAATTGGCAACAAATTAGTTGCATTCCTCTGAACATTTGGTGACCCCGACGTGATTTACGTGGGGTGTGTTTTTTATTTCGTTTTTCGTTTTCACAAATCGGTGAAAAGGCCTATCAGTGCATTTGGACACCACTTCGCAATTCGGTGAAGAGGCCTACAAACATACATATGTACATATATTCCTGTGCTTGGGTATTATTTGGCGCGCTTTCTTTTGTGATCTTGTTCGCATACATAACCACAGTTTGAACTTGGTTATATAAAGTGCAGGGCATATAAAAGCCGTGTTAAGCGAGGTCAGTGAACGCTTACGAATTTGTTCCGTTGCATTTTCGTCGGCATTTCGTCTCTTGCATTCAAATTCGTGCAGTTGCATCGGCAGCTTACGGTGATAGTGACTTTCGTATACTCTTTTGAAAATGATGGTTGAAAGTTATTCGGTTGGTGCAAGATCCGCGGCGGTACCAAGTGACTTGGACTTTTACATTATGACAATAAAGTACCCGGAATTTCCCGTTTAAATTGCCCGCGTAAGAGATATTTGAAAAATTTTTTTTTGCCAAGTTAGTAGGTCCATTCTCAATTAAGGAGCGAGATTTGAGCGGGATATGTCAACTAGTTTGTTTACAACAGCTAGTTTTGTAAGTTCACCTCAGCTGTGCTCGACGATTTTTGGTTTTTTTCGGTTTCGGTTCGTTTTTCTTCCTCCATTCTGATGATTGTTGACTTGTTTGCATGTCCTACTCGTACACCCATGTCTCATCACCAGTTATTATTCGATTCATGAATGTGAGATCGGAATTCGCACGATCAAGCATGTCCAAAGCAACTTTCTCACGGTACTCTTTTTGAAAGAAATTCAGGTGTTTTGGAACAAGCCGTGCAGCGACGCGTCTCATGCCTAAATTTTCCACCAAAATTAAACGAACGGATTCGCGAGAGATGTTCAGGTGTTGTGCTACCTCTCTAATACTCACATGACGATTTTTAAGAACGATTGCTTTCAATTTGCTGATGTTTTCATCGGTGTTAGAGGTGGATGGTCGTCCAGACCTAGGCAAGTCGTCCACGACTTCTCGTCCTTCACTGAATGCTTTATACCATTCATATGCTTGAGTTTTCGATAAAACCATAAGTCTTGTGTAACATTCGCAACGCTTCAGCGCACAAAATTCCGTTGGATACACAAAATTTGAGACAAACTCGTTGTTCAATTTTTATATCCATTACAAAAATCGTCGAGCACAGCTGAGGTGAACTTACAAAACTAGCTGTTGTAAACAAACTAGTTGACATATCCCGCTCAAATCTCGCTTCTTAATTGAGAATGGACCTACTAACTTGGCAAAAAAAAATTTTTTCAAATATCTCTTACGCGGGCAATTTAAACGGGAAATTCCGGGTACTTTATTGTCATAATGTATGAAGCAAAGTCTGATGCTACCTTAAGACAGGTAGAAGCTTTAAAAAGCTACCTGGAGTCAGATGAGGCGCTCAACTTCGACGAGACTGATCTTCAAGTGCGACTTGATTTTGTCGATCAAATGCAAGTGGACTTTGATAAAAGTCAAACCGCGGTCGAAAGGTTAGACTTGCAGGAGTTGTACAGTGACGCTCGGTCAACGTTCGCAAACATCTACCTCGCGGTAAAATCGCAAATTTCGCGTGAGCTTGGCAAGCAGCGTAGATTTTCAGTCGTGAATTCTACAGCCCTTCCACATGTCGGTGGTGATTCGAGACCCGCTGCGCGTGCCACAAGACTCCCAGAATTCAAGTTGCCAAGGTTCAGCGGTGCCTATATCGATTGGCCTGATTTCTACGCAATGTACAACACCATTGTGGGCAATAATGATGACCTGAGCAACGTGGAAAAGTTCCAGCATCTTCGGTCATGCTTGGATGGCACAGCGTTGGACACAATTGGTTCACTGGAGCCCACGGAAGCTAACTATGAAAAAGCTATCGAATTACTAGTTTCGAGATTTGATAACAAACTTTTGCATTTTCAGGCACACATACGGTCAATCTGCGGGATTTCAGGTGTGGAGCAAGGATCGGCAGCAAGCTTACGACGCTTAAGCGACCAAATGAATTCGCATCTGCGTGCGCTGAATACCATGGCAACGACACAGGAGATCATGGACGGTCTTCTGATCGATCTGGTAGCTTCGAAGTTGGATCGCCACACTCGAGAGAAATGGGAAGAGGGTCTGCAGGCAAATAAGCTGCTGAAGTGAAAGGATATGGCTACATTCCTGGAAAAGAGGTGCCGCATGTTGGAGAATCTTGAAAATGCTATGGTAATCCCGACACCTAGCAAACAGGTGGGAAAACCAAACACTAACAAAAACATTCATAACGCACTCGTAGCATCATCACTAAACACCTCATCATTTAGAGATCATTTCATTTCTAAATGCCAGTCCCACCTTGCGATATAAGGAGGCTAAAAGGCTGCACTTGTTTCTTAATTGTTTGCGCAAAGGCCATGGTATGCAACAGTGCAAGTCTGGTTCTTGCAAACGCTGCCATTCGAAGCATAATTCGTTACTTCACATCGATTCTAATGCCATCGCCGCACCCTCTCCTCCAACTACCACTACTAACACTCAAAATGTCGTTTCGCTCTTATCATCATCATTCTCTGAAGCTCCACCTGTTGTCTCGTCAGATAGTAAGACCGATTATGTGCTGCTTGCAACTGCCATCGTATACATCAGAAATCGATCTGGTGCATTTGTTCCCTGCAGAGCCTTGTTAGAATCAACATCGTCACTTCTCGTTTTGTTAAGCAGTTGCAACTCACTACTCGTCAAGCTAACACATCTATATCTGGAGTTGGTGAATCATCATTGTCATCAAACGCATCCGTCGATCTCGAAGCACACTCCAGGGATAGAAAATATCGTACAGCACTGACAGCAGTAATTAGTGGCAAAATTACGGATTACCAGCCTCTTTAAACGCCCTAGGGTGGAACATACCATCAAATCTTGTTTTTGCTGATCCGTGGTTCTACAATAGTCAGCGTATCGATTTGTTAATAGGGGCTGGCATCTTTTACGAATTGCTTTGCGTTGGGCAAATGCGATTAGCCGAAAATCTGCCCATTTTGCAAAAAACGCGTCTTGGCTAGATCGCAACTGGAGGGATTTCGTTCTCAAACATGAAGCGTTCAGCACTTGCGGTGACCACTGAGCCCGTCATCCAATCGGAAACCGATTCCTTGCCAGATATTGTCAAACGGTTTTGGGAAATCGACAGCTACTGTGGATCTCAAATCGTCGCAACTGATGAAGACGTATTGTGCGAGCACCTATTCCAGAATACCTTTTCTCGACTCAGTTCAGGGCAATACTCAGTTCGTTTGCCTGCCAAAGCCAGTTTTGACATGCTCGGTTATTCTTACGGTCGTGCCTTACGTCGATTTAAGACGCTAGAGGGCAAATTGCTCAAGGATGTGGAATTGAAGTCGCAATACGCTGCATTCATCAAGGAATATGTCGACCTACAGCATATGTCACTTGCTTCTGACCAATCAGTAGCCTCGCAATATTACTTGCCTCATCATTGCGTGCAGAAGCCAGATAGTACAACCACAAAGTTACGAGTCGTATTCGATGGCTCAGCTAAAACGTCCTCAGGGTACTCTCTAAATGATTTGTTGTTTTCAGGTGCCTCAATACAGCCCAAAATCTTCAGCACACTGCTTTGTTTTCGCTTTTTCAAAGTTGCATTATGCGGGGACATCTGCAAAATGTATTGATGTGTCCGTGTCACTAGCCCTGATAACTATTTGCAGTCTATCTTATGGCGTGACGACCCAAATCAACAGGTCAAGGCTTATACGCTCGATACGGTTACCTACGGCACTAAGCCGGCTGCGTTTCTGGCAATTCGTGCTATGCAGCAGCTATCATATGATGAGGAAGCTGAGTTCCCGTTGGCAGCCAAAATAGTTCGCCGAGACTTTTATGTGGACGATCTCATTTCTGGAGGTGACTCGATCGAGGAGGCAGCTCAAATTCGTGAGCAGGTGAAGGAATTGCTATCCAAGGGTCATTTTCCAATTCGAAAATGGTGTTCAAATGAGGCAGCGGCTTTAGAAGGCGAGTTAGAAATTGATCGCGAGAAAACGCTCAGGTTTCATGATGGAAATGATGTCCTCAAAGCACTCGGCTTATATTGGGATGCAAAATCGGATCACTTGCTTTTCTCATTGTCTAGAACTATGGCAGAAAGCGGTTCAACGAAAAGATCAATTTTATCGGCCGTTGCCAAGTTCTACGACCCTCTCGGATTGATAGCACCAATTGTTACAAAATTGAAAATATTTATGCAAATTCTTTGGAAGGACAAACTGGATTGGGACGAGTCGCTTCCGCAATCTTTGCACTCCTCATGGCTGAAGCACATGAAGCAGATGTCAGCGGTCAATCATCTAAAATTTCCTCGTTTCGTTATGCAGCCCAACTCGTCGTTGGAGATACACGCTTTTTGTGACGCAAGTTTAGCAGCGTATGGCGCCTGCGTTTACGTCAGATCTGAAACTCATAGCTGAATCTCAACTCATTTACTTTGTTCCAAATCTAGAGTTTCGCCTCTAAAAACCCTCACCATACCCAAATTGGAATTATGCGCGGCGCTATTATTATCAGAGCTCATCTCAAATATTGCCCTAACCATTTCATCTGATTGCAATTTTTATTGTTGGTCTGATTCAACCATAACGCTTTCTTGGATTCGTAAACCTCCATCAGATTTTAATATCTTTGTATCCAACAGAATTGCGCAGATTCAGGATCGCACCAAGAGCATGACATGGCGTCATGTACCCACACACTGGAACCCTGCCGATATATTATCGCGTGGATGTTCACCTCTCGAGCTCTTGGAGTCGAACCTGTGGCGAGAGGGACCTCCATTTTTACGTTCGGATTCATCGTGCTGGCCAAATGTAGCGCCTATTGTGGACGACTTGCCTGAACGTCGTCGCATGGTTTTAGTTGCAACCGAGAAGCAGGATATCTCATACGATTGCAAATTTCAAAACTCATTTGGAAAGCTGCAGCGAGTTTTTGGATATATATACAGGTTCTGGCTTCTCAAATTCCAAAATCAAACGCGTCGCAAAGGACCACTCACAGTCGATGACGTCAAAGGTAGCACACATCTACTCATCAAAGGGATCCAGCGTGTTTTCTTCGCAGAGGACTACAAAGCATTGCGAAAGAACAAGCAGGTTGCATCAAATAGCAAGCTCTCGTCGTTGCATCCTATTCTGGATGACTCAGGATTAATTCGTGTTGGTGGTCGCTTGCAAAACTCGCTTCTGGACTACGATGCGAGACATCCCATTTTGCTGCCAAAAAATCATCCTGTTACTCAAGCAATCGTCGCTCAATTCCATCACAAGTTTTTGCACGCAGGACCGCAAAGTCTACTAGCTGCCTTGCGCCAGAGGTTTTGGCCAATTGGAGGCCGAAAGATAGTCGCAGCTATCGTAAACAAATGCATCAGGTGTTTTAGACTGAAGCCGAGAATGATGGAGCACATCATGGCCCCCTTGCCGGCCAGCCGAGTGCAACCAAGTCGTCCTTTTACAACGACTGGAATCGACATTTGTGGCCCATTCTTCTCGAAATCGGAAGTCAGGAATCGACCGCCTGCGAAGTGTTACGTGGCAGTTTTTATTTGCTTCGCAACTAAGGCCTCTCACTTGGAGTTAGTAGAGGATTTATCAACCGCATCGTTCCTCGCCGCTCTCAAGCGTTTCACCAGCATCAGGGGCAAGCCCAACACGATCTGGTCGGACAACGCAACAAACTTTGTTGGTGCGAGAAACGAGTTGCAGGAGCTCAGGCAAATCTTCCTCGCTGATCCTCCAAATATCGAGCTTCGCAATGACCTGTTGTCTAATGGAATTAATTGGCAGTTCATACCCCCTCGCTCGCCTCATTTTGGTGGCTTGTGGGAGGCCGCAGTAAAAGCAGCCAAATATCATTTTCATAGGGTGGTTGGAAGATCGGTTTTAACTTTTCATGAACTTCGTACTCTCGTTTGCGAAGTGTCTGCCATGCTTAACTCTCGACCACTCTGCCCCATTTTAAAAATCCTAGCGACTTGGAGGTTCTCACGCCTGGACATATTCTTATTAACACTGCTTTCAACGCCATAGACGAACCCGACATCACTCACCTCAACATCAATCGGCTAAGTCGCTGGCAGCGAGTTTGCCAGATGCAGCAGGCGATTTGGCACAAGTGGAGCACTGCCTACCTATCGCTACTCCAGGAACGTGGGAAATGGCAATCAGTAAAGGCAAATTTGTCGCCTGGCAATATAGTCATCATTAAGGACGACAATCTTCCTTCACTCCAATGGCGGATGGGCAGAGTCGAGAGCATCGTTCTTGGACCAGATGGCGTGGCCCGTGTTGCAGTTATTCGAACAGCTGCAGGCATCATCCGAAGAGCTGTTGGCAAGTTGGCCGTTCTGCCCTTTGAGACCACCTCGTCTGTCAGCGTGACTCTACCAGCGGGGGAGCATTTTCGGAGCAGAACCCCTAACTTGTAAATTCTATCCTAAGTTCAAATTCTAACTGCTAATGTAACGTAACGTAACGTAAACGTAAAGTTGTTTATCAACACCCGCATAATTGCAATCGCGCCTAACTTTGCTTATCTTGTTTTATCTATCTTCATTATCATTTCATTCTTTTCGCAACTTTTAACCGATTCACATTTCGTTCGATCTCGAAAAACCCTCGCAAGCAAGTTGTCGGTCGCGATCTTGTATACGCAAAACACATAAACGTTGTAAACAAATATAAAACAAATAACACTCAGAGACACAAATATAAAACCACATCTCATTTAAATCACAAACAATTGGCCTTTTTTTGGAAGTGCACAAAGCGGTGGCAACAAATTATGATATTTTTTATTTTTTTTTAGGTCATTGTATAGACAATATCATCTAGTTTAAAGAGAATTTTTCATTTTTTGATTTCATCCACAGAGGGCCGGAATCACCGCAGCAGTTAAGGCACATTTTTTTTTTAGCGCCGTCGGCTCTAACTTAAAAAATATTTAATTTTTTTCTTTAAAAATTTCACTGTATATTCTTCAAACATGTATAAATATATTCTGAAATTTTAAAATAATTGATCAAGTAGTTTTTTTAATAAAAATTCCTAAAAATCACCTTTTTTTTTGGCCGTCACACTAGTTGTGCCCCTTAACAGTGCACTGTTAAGGCTATGCACTGTTAAAGTCAGCTGTTGCAGCCCAAAAGCACGAGGTTGAGAAGAGGCAGTTTTTGGTTAGCTACTTTGAAAGTGCGATACTTAAATGTTAAAAAATTTCCTAATTCAATTTATGATGGAAAACAATCATACTGGTTTGTATTATATGTTGTGTGTACTAATATTTTGCCAATTTTAAAACAGGTCTAAAAGGTAAATTTTTGGAAAAAAAATTAACTTTACGTAGAATTACAAAAAAAACATATCGTTGCAACAGTGTAAGTCCAGTATATGTCGTAGAGCCATTAATTATGAATAAAAGGCAATTTGTCTCAATGTGCACAAATGCGCACAATCTGCGTAATTTCGTTATTTGTCAGATATCTTCGAGTTTTCAAACGCGGAGCTTTTTGAAGTATGGCGTAAGGAGACGGAGAACTCAAACCAAGAATGATCAATTCTTGATTTTCTTTCGAGCAAAATAAGTAGAAACATTGTTGTTGAAAAACACAACAACTATTTGAAAAAGAAAAGCTGTTTATTTTGCCGAAATATAAGTGGCTTCCATTTACCATATGCAAGAGAAACAAAAAATATTTTGAGAAGAAGTATGCAAATTGGCTGCAAAATACAATAAAACTTTGTTTCTCTGAATCGAATCAAATTGAGAAACCTCAAATTGCACGCCCGAAATTGGCTTACTCGGTTAAAGGGGAAGAAGCACAGAGGAAAGAAGCTGCAGCTCTTTCTAAATCACACGGATGCAACGTCTCCCTGTTAATTCAAACAGCCAGTAAAGCTTCCCGATCTCAGGGCCTCATTGATCTTTCTGTAGTCCTTAATACTCTTGCAATTAGTCCGGAAAAGGCAAAGGACATAAGGGAGCTTTTGAAATGCCCTATTAAACAGCCTATATCAAAGGACGAAGCATTGGCCCTTTTATTAGATCAAGGCTTAAGCAAGGAACAGTATTGCGCAATTAGGGACGATGCTAAGATGTTGTGGAACAAAAAAAGCTTTGTAGACCCGCTAATATATACATTAGCGATACTGTAGCAAAGGTCTCAATGCAAGATCTTTTAAGTCATATGGCTACTCGAATTGTTGTGCTTCAAGAAGAAGTCATTATGAATACGATGAGGCGCAAGAGGTGGATTTTTATTTTATGTCTGACGAAGACCTTGAGAATGAAAATATTTTATAAACTTATTATTGTATTATTTGGTTTTCACTTTATCAACTTTTTTATATGAAATAAAAAAAATTGATTCTCGTCCTGGGAGGGCGGAACCACGCCCATTTTATCAAAAACTATTTTCAACGATCTCCATAAGACTAATACAAAAAACCGTTTCGGAAAATCTTATTTAGTTTAAAAGTTAATAATTAATATTTCGTCAGGGAAGCCCCTTCCACGCCCATTTTCTAAAAACATTCCTATCGGTGTCTATAACAATAACAAAAAAAAACCGTTTTGAAAAATCTTACTTAGTTTAAAAGTTATTAATAAATACCATGAAATCGGCCAAATTCCCCATAGTGCAGTGTTAGTTCATGGATATTCTGCGATTGTGATGAGTATCAATCGGAGAGCTTTCGGAGGAAGCTGTGGAGTCGAATAATAAGGAACTAAAAAAATGTAGACTGTATCACAGCCGAAAAATGTCACGCATTGCAACAAACACTGACATATTGATCACACTACTTTTGCGGTCGGACCCATTTATAACTGGGCAAAGAAAACATGGAAAGAAGGATAAATCAACGTTACTTGAATCTGTGTTCACTTTACTAGGAGAAACGTTAATAGCTGTGGAAATATCAATTTAATATATTGGCTTACAACATGATTGTTTAATTTATGATTTTTTGATATGATATTATTTTAGTAGGTGTATAGCTTGCGGATTAAATGGGGAAAGAGTTTTAAATATAATATAAATAAGAAATATAATATACATAAAACCAAAATAGGTTATTTGGCAGCTATAAGATTTAGTTGTCCGATTTCAATAAAATTTGATAAGCATACGTAAAACTACACCGATCTTATAGTCTGTAAGTTTAGATAACATACCTAAAAAAAAATAAAAAAAATTTTCATACTTATTTTGTATTTATCAACGATCGTTCCTTTAGCAGCTATATTATATAGACGTATATCGTATTTATAAGGTCCATTTTTATAATACATATTTATAATAATTTTATTTTTAATTTTGGGGAAAATTTTTATAACACTATAACAACTAAAAGTATTTATGGCCGCGGCTCCATACAAGCCGAACCACTGTGCACTCGGTTGGGTCCCTCGTTATATGAAACATTATTTTCGACTCTGCACAGAAAATCACGTCGTTACAATAGCTCGGGGGTTAATCCAAAAGAGTTCTCAACATTTTGTTTTGATATCAGGGATTTTTGAAGTGAAAACTTCTTTAGCGGCGCTGAGCAGGGTAAAAACATTCAAACTCGCGTCAGGGTCCCGTTATGTTGATCGAAAAAGCGTAAGATCGAGGGGAAGGGAGAGGAACTAGTATCTCCCACTCTTTCTACCGTGCCTGAGTCATGGTACAATTCATGATACAATTATTGTATCATGGTACAATTATACAAGGTAGTCTCGTCGGCTGCAAAATCGCTCGGGTTTTTTCCCCCTATGGTTCAGTGCGCTCGGGATTTCGAAGTGAGAGGTTGTCCGCGGACGATTTTTTCTCAAAACGTTAACCCTTGTGTGCTTGTGAAAAATACTTGTTGCAATTATTGCAGCAAGCACATACAAGGCGTAACATGTAATATTGCAGAAAAATATTTTGAAATGTGAACAATATGGAAGCGAGTCCTGAAGGGCAGCTTTGTGTAAAAACCGAAAATTTCGGAAAAATTAATACTCATGGTCATATAACAGTCCTTTTTAAACCCCGTGCACAGCATAAGGGTAAAACGACATCATCTTCTTCTGTTTCTTTCGCACTTACGGGAAAACACCCTCTCACTCGCACTCATTGTAGTGCCCAATAGGGGAAAAAAAAGCCGACGAGACTACCTTGTACTTACACTTAAATAGGTTCGAATCAAAACTGTTTGTTTCTTTCTTCAGTTATCATAAACCAATTGTATCAGATGTAAAAATTTGCGATGATGATTCTGATAATAACGATGGTGTAAAAGTCGTCGAAATTATGGATGGAAGTTGATTTTTCTGAGAGATAAAATTTAATGTAATATATAAATAACGATAAATTATTATAAATAACAACATATAAATGCCATATTTGTGTACGATAGCGCAATAAATAAACATTGTATTCTACCTCTCTCATAAATGATAGTACTTTTATACTTATAATTAAACACAACGTTAATATTGAAGTTTTCACTTCTGCCGGCACTCCCGGAGTGCTACCGGTGTTTTTTTCTGGCTACTCGCGATGTGAAGTTATTGCTTCTAATTGTCCTGCGAATAGGTTCATGAGAAACATCCACTCTACAGTCTTCCCTTACCTACACAGCCAGTTTTCTTGTTGTGATCATGGGGTTCTGGTATACTTTTTTCATTATAACTCAAAAAGCTATGTTTGAGAGCTTACCCGGCCGACCATTTAGTGACTTATTTTCGAGCCTATTCTTATTTTTTGCCCGACTTATTATATTTTGGATAGTTCTTATATTCAGTTTAAACATATTTGCAATGTTTGCAGTTCTCTTCCCATAGCTCACATCAAAAGAAACTCTCTTACCTGGCATTGTAAAACACTTATTTATACGACTATTAGCGTCTGTAAAGTACGGAGAAAAGACATTGAAATGCTCAAAAAGCCAACTTATCCATACAAACATACATATGCGAAAGACGAGAAAACACAAAAAATGTAAAAACGAAAACAGTTATTTGACAGTGGACATTATGTAGACTTTTTTGTATTTGTTTAATGTATCTTTTTTGTTAGTAGAAACATTTTTGTTTGGTGTTGTGTGTATTCTTAAGAAATAAATCAAAAATTTATAAAATAAAAAATCTTATTCAAAACTTATTGCAGTGTTTTTTTTTAATAAGAATGGGAAAATTATAAAAAAAAAACTTCATGCGAAAACCCCAGTGGCGTAGCGTGCCTTGTCGGGGCCCCGTAAAAAAAATTTTTTGGAGGCCCTTATATGGAGGTAAAGATTTTTCACAAAAGAAAACAAGAAAGGAAGCTAGCTTCGGCAAACCGAAGCTTTTATACCCTTGCAGTCATCAAATATGTCGAAAAAAAATACATAACGGCTAAACAACATCGAAGCTAAGACGATTTTTCTATTCATTTTCTATATTTTCGACTATTGTTCG